GGATTAAGAAAATTATTAAAAAAGCTAATAAAGCAGCCTAAAATAGTAAGTAAGATTTATGCAGCTATATATATATAGCTAATTAAACTAGTTAACTAATTAAAGGCTATTACTATATATAAAGGCTTTTTTATAATTAGTTTTTTTTAGGTAGTTTATTTTTTATACTTAGGAGAGATAATTAAGTATAATAATAGAAATAAATTCTAAGGTATTTACTTTTAAATATTATACTTAAATTATATATAAAAAAAATATAATAAAAAACTAAATAAGTTATAAAAAAAATATAAATTTACTTTAAAAATTTAAAAATAATATTATATATTAAAATCCTTATTATTACTTTCCTTATTTAGGTTATTATTTTTCTTAAAATTATTATTATTTTTATTTAAATTATTACCTTTATTAAGGGTATTACCCTTTTTAAAGTCTTTTATTAATATTTTAATTATAAAAAAACTATAAAATATAATTATAAAAAAAACTATATTAAACTTAATATTAGTAAAGTATAAAATAATATATAAAAGAAAAGTATATTTTACTTTTATAAATTTTTTTTAAAAAAAAAGTAAAAATATAAAAAAGTAATTATAATTTACTAATTTAATAATAAAATTAAAAATATAAAATTAATTATTAATATTTTAGTTATAAAAAAAAAACTTAGTAAAAGTATATATTTTTAATAATAATATAATTATAATAATATAAAATAAGTTTATAATATTAAAGTTAATTTTTAAGTATATAATTATATAAGTATTAGTAAAATTATTAAAATTAGTAAAAAGAAATATTATATTATAAAACTATTTTATAAGTATAAGTAAATAAAAATACTAAAACTTTTTATAAGCTTATAATTAAAAAATCTTAAAAAAAAACTATATAAATTAATAATATATTTAAAAAAATAAAAAAAGTTTTATATTATAAAAAAATTATTAAAAATTTACTATAACTTTTATATAATACTTATAAAATTATTTTTAAAAATATTATAGCTATAGTAACTTAATTAATAATAATAATACTTTATAAATTTATTTAAGGACTTATTAATAAAAAAATATAAAACTATAATAAAATATATATTATATAAATTAATATAAATAACTAAAAAAAAAGGGATTTCTTTTTTTTTATTAAGTAAATTAGTATAATAAGTAAAATTATATATATATTTATAATATAGTATTTTATAATTATAATAAATTAATAAAAAGCTAAAAGTAATAATAAAGTATACTTATATTTTTAAAATATTAATATTTAGTAATAAATTAGGCTTTATAATTAAAAAAATTATAATAATAGTAGCTAATTTAAAACTAGTTTTAAAAGTATTATTAAGTAAGAATACTTTATTTTTATTATAAATTAGTTACTAAGAGGTATAAGGTTAATTTTTAATTATAAAGGGAATATTAACTTTTTAAAAACTTAATATATTTATAAAAAATTAAATATACTTAAGTATAATACTAAGGTTTAAATATAATTAATTAGCTTTAGCCTTTTTAAATATAATATATTTATTATTATTAAAATAAAGTATTATAATAAGCTTATAAAAATAAAACTTAAAAAAGTAGAAATTATAAAATTAATTATATAAAAGGGAATAAAAATAATAACCTAGCTGTAAAAATATTAAGAAAATATTATAAAAAAAAAAAGTAAGATTAATTATAATATTATAAGGCTTAAAAAAAAATTTAAAGTTATAATAATATAAAATATTTATTATAACTAAATATAATTATAGGTTTTAATTTACTAAGTAATAAAAGCTATAGTAAGTAAAATAAAATAAATATAAAGTTATAGTAAATTATAATTAATATATAATTACTTAGGTATTTAAAAATTATAAAAGGAATTAATAAATTCTATTAAAATAACTATATTATACTATAATATAGGGACTATATTTTAAAAAAGAAATATTTATATAATAATAAAAAAAATAATAAATTATATATTACTAATTATATTATTATTTATAACTATTATACCCTTATTTATAATAACTTCTACTTAAATTACTTTACTTTTATAAGTTAGAAAAAGAGGAATAATAATAAAAAAACCTATTTTTCTTTTTTTTAAAATAATATCCTAAAGAAAAGTAAATTAATAATATTAAAATTATAATAAAAAAAAAATATATTTATATATAAATAAATAATAATTTATATATTATTTATAAAAAGTTTATAATATTTAATTATATTTTTACTTTTATTATATTATAAACCTATACTTAATAATAAGTAAAAGTTATACTTATTATAATTAAGGCAGCTATAATAATAATTACTACTATAGTAATTATTACTAAAGTTAATATTATATTATTATAATTATAAAAAGCTTTTTAATATTATACCTAAAGGGGTATAATAATAACCTAAAGTAAGTTAAAAATAAAATTATAATAAAAAAATAATAATATACTATATTAAGTTAAGGCTTATAAAACTTATTTAATAATAACTAAGCTACTTATTAATATTAAGTATATATAAAAATATAGTTTTTTTTATAAAATTTATAAATATAAATAATATATTTCTTATTATAATTTAAATAATATATTAATAAAAAGCTTAATATAAAAAAGCTATAAAATATATATTAATAATAATTATATAAATTAATAAAAAGCTATTATTTATTTATTTATATATATAATTTAAGTATTAATAATAAAGAATATTATTATTTATAAATTAAATATATAAATATTATAAAAAAAATAAAAACTTACTTAATAAGCTTAAAAATATTTATTTTTACTAAAATAATTAATATATAAGTAATTATAATATAAAAATAATATAATAGTTTTAAAAATAATAAAAAATAAAAGTATTTATTTAAAAGAATTTAGTAAAGTTTAATATAATTATATAAGTTTATATTCTTTACTATTACTTTATTTTCTTAATTATATTATAAAAACTAAAAATATTATAAAAGTTAAAGAAAAATTATAAAAGGTTTTTAATAATATTTAGTTTTATATTTAATTAATTATTTCTTTTATAAAAAAATAAACTAAAATAAAATATATTTATAATAAAAATAAAATAAGTTTAAAGCTTAAGCTTATTTATAATATAGCTTAAGTAAATATTACTAAAATTAGCCCTTAAACCCTTAGTTAAAAAAAGTAATTATTAAAAATACTAAGGTAATACTTTAGAAAAAGGGGTAATATATTAAAGCTAAGTAATAGACCTAATATTAAGGCCTTAAAAATATATTAACCTTATAGTAAAGCTAAGTATTTATATTATAAAATTACTTTAATTACGCTAGAAAGATATAGGTTAAGGGCTACGCAGCCCTTAGCGTAATAGTAGGTGCTATATAATAACTATAAGTTTTATAAAATTATAAAAGGTTAAAGATAAATATAGTTACCTTTATATACCTATTTTATATATTTAATATAAAGCCCTTGTAAACTTACTCTTATACCTCTTTACTCTCTTTTACTAACCCGACTTCTGACATATAGGTGGTTTTAGCGGCTTTATAGTTATGGATAAGATAATACATATATTATTTTTTCTAAGTTTAGATTATATAAAAAAACGTGTTTAGCTATGTGTATTAGTTTTTCAGGTGTATCAGGGATTTACAGGCTAAGTTAAAGGCTATCGCCTTTAAGTTAACTACTAAAAGTAGAGCCAACGGGTAAGCATAAACAACTGCAACCATAATCATCAGCCCTTTCATCATCTTCACTCCATCATCTTTTGTTCTCTTATGAATCTCTTAAACCAAAATGCCTCCCTTTATTGATCGTGTCCATATCCATCAGGCTGTCGATAATCAGGCGATTCCCGCTCTGGAGGCAATGGCAGCAAACGATAGTCTGCGTTCGCTCTACCGCTTTGAGCGCGATGATCCTCCGCCCTATGTATCCTCGACCGAGTCGGAGGAGCTCGATGATGCTGACCTCACTCCACTACCACGCGGCCGCCCTATGCCGCAAGAGCTTCAAGTTCTCATGGAACAACCCCTCAGCCAGGACGAAGTTGATGATATTGCACATTTTATGTGCGAGCTTCCACGTCCCGACGACATCTATTACGAAGAAGCGTGGCGCGAGTACCGCCGGGTCGATTCGCACCCTCGTGGCCCACGGCCCGAGATGTTCAAAGACTTGAACGGCAGTCGGCGCCAGGGAGTCATTGTTCGTCATCTTGTCAAGCGGCGTTGGCAGAAACTTGGGGTCTGGAATACGAGTTGGGGTTTTGCTGGGCGCAAGGTACAACCTGGTGACGATTGGCGTAGGTGGACGTGGTGGTGGCAGCCTGTTGGAGCGGCCGATGACCCGCACCAAGTATATCTGGACAGTCGTGAGCTGGTCGCGCGCGCCTTGCGACTGCGCGAGAATCTGCGTCGCGGCGAGTATGCCCCTAGCATACCGCGGTCTCGTCTCAGGCCAGACGCGACTGCTGCCGAGGCGGAGGCATTTCTCCTCTCTAGGCCATGGTTCATATTTCGGTTAGAAGTGGCTGAGGAAAGCACGAGATATCGTCGCCTCTCCAATGACGACCAACGACGATACCCACATTCCGGCCGGGACCAAGTCATCAAGTGGTGGAGGGAACGCGGGGACTGGAGAGATGAATACAACAGCACCAGCAAAGTCGCGTCCTGGAAGTGGCGGCACGAGTCTCCTTCCCCGGAACCCGAAGACCTCGCTGTTCTGGACAACCTAAAGGGTAGGTCCCTTGACGCAGCGGAGGAGATGGAGTTTACCCCTTCCGAGATTGATGAGCTGGAGGTAATTGATCGCCCAGAATCCGAACAGCCCAAGGGTTTCTGGGTTATAGGAAAGAATGATTGGACCAAGCACTATCCTGGAGAGATGGTTGACCAACAAGCAGAGATCCAGGAAACGCTGCAAAAGAATAGGGAGAAAGTGGAAAAGCTGAAAGCTGAAGGGCGATACGTCGAACCACCAAAGGACCCCATCATTGAGCGCCTGATGAAAAAATATGGAGATCTCTTTGGCCCGCGACCAGCAGCAGAGTGCGAGGAGATTCTTCCTGAAGCGCAGGAGGCATCCAGAGAGGTCCAAGAGGACGAGCCCAGATCACAAGACGATATTGATCCTTGTCCACCGCGGACGCAGCGTCGCTTGCATCAGCATCATGCGCGGGGCGGACTAGACAGCGTACAAGATCAGGATCAACCCGTCCCGCCACCACCCCGACGAAGCTCTAGGATCGCCGCTGTGAAGCGCCGCGCGGAGCCTCTTCCAGAGCAGACTCAGCCGAATAAACGGCTTCGAAGGACAGTACCAAATGCCCTAGGACTTGCCACACCTGATCCCGCGGCGGCGCCTGTCCCACGGAGCGCCAGAGCAAAGCCCGTCCTTGGACAACGTTCGCCGGAGGAAAAGCCGGAGAGCCGCCCGAGAAGGGGCCGGGGGCTTGCAAGGAGAGAGAATGGACAAAGCATCAGCTCCGCCGTGCAGAAGAGACCTGCAAGGACAATTGCCAAGAACAGACCCAGAAAGAACAAGAATACGCGAGCGGAAGCAACAATTGGAGGAAAGCGACGAGGGAGGCCGAGACGGAACAGATCAAGGTGAAGCGATGCTCGATTGTTGCATGAGGTTTCACGAGGTCAGCGTGAATGAGTGTCGATTGCATGGGGTACTTTATTTATGGCATCTTTGGAGCCTACCTGGCGTTGAAACTTTGGGCCTTATTGTACATGGGTAGATGAAGTAGAATGCATTATGAATACCCAGTCGGTATATTAGAATCCTACTCCTATCTAGACCCCATATTAATTGACACAGCCTGCTTCTCCCATAGCTCTTGTGTACGCAACCCTGTCCTGCCCTTGTGGCGGCAACAATTGGAGAAGATGCATTTTGGGCCATGATGACGCCCAGACACCATTCAAACCATCTTGCAACCCTGCACCGGCTTCCGCGCCTTGTCCTTATTCCTGTACTGCAGAGTAATAGCACTGGAAACCAACAGCTGGAGAGCCCTTATACTACGTACAGTCAATTCATTTGCAATACCATGTCTTCCGAGACCTGCAACGGCGCATAACTCTCCCAAGGCTCGAGGTACGACCACTTGCGGGTACAGCCCTTGATCTGCTTCCACATGTACTTTTCGAGCTTGCTTGCGCTCTTGGCGTAGGGCGTGTTCTCCGGGTTGTAGCGGCGGCAGTTTGTGAAGATGAGCTTGGCGTCCCTGATGAACTCCTCAGGTGTGGAATACTGGTCGGCCTCGAGCTTTGACTCCATGGTACTGAGGTCGTCTCTTCGCTTGCCCCGCGCTTCTCATTACTGCCAAATTCGCGGTAAGCAAACGAAGCGGATGCGGCACTAGCCAACCAAAGTCTCATCCCTCTTGCAACACCATGATGGATGCCCACAAGTGAGATCGCTGCCAACGTTGGGGTTCGGCACGGGTCGTAGTCTTTGACAGGACTCGTATTCATGGTCGCGGGGCCCCAAAAAGCCTCGGGATAGCGGGACCCCGTATTCTCCAATAGATATGGTCGTATGTGCTTGGAAGCCTAGTTGTTTAACTCATAAGCCCCCAATCACAAGGGAGACAAAGCACAAAAAGAGAAAAAACATACAACAGCCGGTGTTCGCTAATGGTCACCCACTTAACTACTAATCTGCCGGTTAGTGGCTTATCTATGGGGGAGCAGACGGGACCCCGAGCTTTCCACTACCTATGGTCGTATGTGCTTGGTAGTATAGTTGATCGATTTATATGTTCTTGATCTTGGTGAGATGAGATATCAAAAAGAAAAAACATACAACAGCCGGTGTTCGCCAGTGGTCACCCACCTGACTACTAATCTGCCGGTTAGTGGCTTGTCTATGGGGGAGCAGACGGGACCCCGAATTTTCCACTACCTATGGTCGTATGTGCCTGATTCACTAACAAACTACCTTATAACGACAAACTCTCAACCAATTCAAGCATTCGGACTCCAAGGCTTCAAACTCCCCCACGGGCGCTTTGCGGCACTCCGATCAGATACTCCATATTACGGTAGGTAGTGCCGGCCGATGCCCTGAATGTGCTCCGTTTCATGGAGCGGGCGTCACGCGTTTTGCGTCCACCCCTCCCTCCGAATTTCTGCGTCGACTCTTGAGACGAAACCGGTCGACCCGGTGGAGGGTCCCTGGGATACATAAACCCAACGCGTTTAGCCACACCGTTCCAGCGCTCCCACAGCATGTCATCTATAGGCCATAACCCATCGGATCGCATTATCAGCACTTTACTTTGTCTAAGTGGGCGAGCCTCTCTGTTTAAATTCGCTTACTGACAGAGCTTCTTGTCCATGCCCAGTATTTTTATTATACATACATCCACATAACAATGGATGCTGCTGTGGGGGGCACAGTTACCATATTTCGTTTCATACATCAATGCTTCAGTCACATCAAGCAAGCCCGTGGCTTCGAAGTCGGGTTCGAGATCTACCAGCTGCAACTCGAAACTCTTCTCTCTCATTGCGCCTCTATTTCAAGAATCATTCACGATACCAGTGAGTTGGGCAATCCGATCGCAGATACAACAGATCCCCCCAGATAACAGATTGGAAGACCAAGACCCAACAACCGCGCAGACTCTCTCTGCCATTCAACACGCCTTGCGTAAAGCCAAGCGTGGCGCCGCAAAGATGCAAGCCGATTACTTTGCAACAAATAACCTACCTCTTCAAGACCTCACTACAGATGACCATCTACCAGCACTACGACCTCGGATGACGGCGTTTCTCGACAAGCGAAAAGTCCAAGCGGCGAAAACAATTGAAGGGTTTAAATGGGCTCTATACAAGAAAGAAATGCGCGGCAGATTTATCCAAGACATATTCATCATGATTCTACAACTCGAGCGCCAAATTTACTCGGAAAGTCTGGCGATCGAGGATGCTGGGTTGATGTACCTACAAAACGAGCCCGTGGCTCTTGTGTGACAAAATACAGCGGTGCATAATAGATTAGAAAGGCGATTGGCATTCAGTTTATTGCATGGCGGAAAAGGTGTTTTTGCAATTTTTTCCCATAGTGCCTATAGAAGGAATATTCAGCTCCAGTAGACGTTTTGTCCTCTCCTTTTTTCCCATCTTGGTCTATACTCTTGATGTTGGTGAACTGACGGGTGTGTTGCTAGCGATTACTGGAATCGCCCTACATCGCACACTGTTCCACGAGCATCATGAAACTAAGACGGGTGCACCTGTAGCTTGCTTCTTCGGCGTCCAACCAGCATACCGTTTCCGTTACTGACATTCACCGCGAGGTGATCAAAGGATGGTGAGCCGTTGATGTTCGTCAAGGCCGCGCTCACTTTGGAGCGGCCACCATCTTCTGGTGTCATCGACTAGAAACACAAGGTACAATGGCATCATCATACATAGCCCTTCGTCCGCGGCATCTGCCAAAGCATCTTGGGTTCAGCTGTTCGTAGGGTTTCCCTCGGAGACTTCCTTTTCGACCAACTTCACAATGAACTATGCAGGTGGCCAAATTTGTTAATCTTCCCCAGCCCCGTCAGATCAGCAGGAGCATCACAACGGCCAGCACATATCACTTGCATGTTCCTTTGTAGCCGTGACGGGTTCAAGGGTGTGGCGTAAGTTATCGCGAGATTCGTGGTAGATTTGCCATTAATTATTATTCTTCCAACAGCCTGGCGAGAGTACAAGCAGAGCCCAGCAATCTCAGGAGCCTTCAGCACTCCCACGTCTCTCTTCTTCTACTCACTAGAAAAAGTAGTAATCTTTTCGAATGTCACATGTTTGGATTCTCGAACTGATAAAATGGCCACGTCCTTTCAGTCGTTCCCGTGCTTCTTCGACTCCAACTTGGTGTGCATGCCGCTGAGAACGAGACGTTGACCCGAAAAGTAGCAAAGCGCAATAGAGTCTTTTTAAAAATTTGCCGATATTGCCGACCAGCCAAAACTCCATAGGCTGGCTGCCTCGAGGTTCAGGCACAAGCAACGAGCCAGAACAATGCCTCTGGTGATCAGATGAGACAGCGTTGCGGTCGCCTCGCCATTAAGCTTGTGTCATTGCGCATAGGCCGCCTTGGTAGGATTCATCAAGCATCAACACTGCCTCCGAAATGGGGGCAGCGGATCGAAATAAAATCTCTCCGACGCTCGTGCCGCTCCTGGCGCAGCGAGGCCCAACCAATGGCCAACAGGTAGAGTAACCTCCGTGGCATTTTAGATCCGTACACCGCGACTGGCGCCGGGTATATGTTGCCATTGATTCGACGCCTGCAAGGGTCGGCATGGGCATCGGTTGTGTAACTAAGATACATTAATGTCAATGTCAAATACGTACCTGTAATATTGAGCTCATATCCCACTTACAAGCTAGTAGAGATGTTGCCGTTTGAGAAGAGATGCAATTGCATTTCTCCGAAGTTTCGAGTTCATGTCAACATGTATTTAGCCACGATTGTATTCAGAGGTAGGATCCATTGAGGAATAATACACGGTCATGAATAATCGGCATCTTATGTCTCAATGAGTATGCGTGGGGTATCTCAGCTGATATGTTCGAATTTTGCTTGTTGTCAACGGCGTCTTTGTCGTTCGAGCTGTGTGCATATATGGTACTCGTCGGTGTCGCAAAGAGTTTGTGGTATCTTGGCGTTAACAGTCTTGAGTCGTAGGAGGTTCGAGCCAAAAATAATGGCGAATAACAGGCACACAAGATAATCATGTCGCCTAAAAGTATTCGACACTTCATGCCAAGTATTGGCGGAATCTGAATGCTTGTCGGATGAAGTGCGCCAGTGTGAGGGGAGGCGTTCCGGGGAAATGGAACCGGCAGACAAAGAGAAAGGCACGGCCTTTAGAATGCAGTATATAGAGCAGTTTATAGTTGTAAATGGAGTGTAGAAAGAGAAGGTCGTTTGTACGTATTTGGTTCTCGAAAGTCCAGTTGGTACAATGTGAAGCTGCTCTTGAGGAGAAGAAAAGAAGAGAAAAGAGAAAAGGGGAAAAGAAAATGGGGGTTAAATTGGGCAGATGAAATTGACTGCCAGTTGTGTCAGCCGTCCAGGCTCCCGTTTCTTAGAATTTCGAATGTTGGCAGCTGTGTCTTTTTTACCAGCCATTTAATTAAATGAGCGACGCAAGCTGCAACTGTTGATTAGGTAGATGGGACTGAGTATGATCACGACTGTAAATACATTAAACATCTCTAGCATCTCTAGCATCTCTTCCTGTTATACCTAGTATCTCTTCTTAACATCTTTGTCTCACTTCACCCCGCTTCAGAACAAGACAGCATCATGTCTGAGACACGTCAAAAGCAACGCCGCGTCCTCTTCTGTGTTCCAGCTTCAGCCCCGTCCATCGCACAGCCGCAGACAAAAGCTCACTTCACTGCTGCGTACTTCAATAGGCTGGAAGAAAACCAGCCTCGTTGCCTCGTCTATTTCTGTCTCACAATGCCCGTGCATGTGTGTGACCTTGGCAGCCGAATGTCATTGCCACACGTAACATGCAAGGACGGAATCCTTCAGCCTACTGTTATATCTAGCCCACATGCTGCTCTCATTCTAAATCTTCTTCTCATTATTCTTTAATCATACCCGGTATAAAGTAAGCTCAGGATTCACTAAACATCTCCCCGTGAACCGCCTGCATGGACCGTGATGACAGTGTTACACAGCAATCCTTGATGTCCAATATGAGCGATGGACCAGAAACACTTCCAAGGCTTCACTCCCCAACCCAAGGAAGCGTCCGCGCCGTCGAGACAGAAGAGCAAGAAAATGCCACACAACAACAATCTTTGTCATCACATATAGGAGACGACACGCAGACACCTCCAAAACCCCAAAACTCGAGTTCCGAAAGCGACGCCGATACTACGAAAGAACAAGCCCACGCCAATTACACCACCATCGCCAATCATAAAAGAGCTCCTCATCTCTGGCTCTCCCAACTCGCCTCAACATGGTGGATCGAAAGCATCACCATCTGCATCAGCTTCGCCTGCATGGCCGCCCTCGTCTGCATCCTCGCCCTCTTCCAAGACCGCCTCACCACAGACTGGCCCTTCTTCATCAGCCTCAACGCCACCATCGCCATCGCAATCACGGCCGCAAAGGCAACGCTCCTCGCCCCCGTGTCAGTCTGCCTCAGCCTGGAGAAATGGAACCGCTTCAGGAACAAGGCCCACCATCTCCAAGATCTCGCCATCATCGACACGGCGAGCCGCGGGCCTCTCGGTGCTGTACAGATGCTCTTCCGGGTCTCGTGGGGGTTTGCAAGCTTGAGTGCAGTGGTTGTCATTCTGTCCATCCTCACAGATACACTGGTGCAACAAGTGGTATATCTCGAACCAGGCACAATCTACGCTTACCAAGAGTATTCGGCAAGGTTCGGGTACGCATATGGTTTTGACGGGGCGGATCCCAAAGAGGGCGAGGGTTCGTATTGATGCAGACTTGACACTTGCCAGTCCCTTGTTCGGCGCACCGCTTCTAACAGAACCGCCCCCTTTCAGATGCTGCCAATGATAACGTCGCAATCGCCTTCCTTAGAGGCTTATATCAGGCAGATTGGCCAGACTATTTCGCATGCAACTCAAACTGCACCTGGGACGACCATTATCTCACCCTGGGCTTCAGCAGCACTTGCGCCAACGCGACAGACGAAACCGTCGGCACTTTGGAATGCGATAATGGCGAGCCCTGGCCAGGGCATTGCCGCATGACGACGCCAAGGGGGCGCGTGCAGTTCAATTTCGGCCCTCAGTATGCGCCAATGACGTTGAACGCGAGCGAAGCAATGTTCCAACATTTCACATACCGCGAGCTGGACAACAAGTCTGATTCTCTCAAAGATACCGATCTCTTTGCAGCCTCCATCTGGACTCTCCCTGAGCCTCGCTTCTCAGGCGAACAAAACCTGGCCGAGTATAAAAAGACGCTCCTTCGAGAGTCGGTGGTGGTTGAGTGCACGCTTGGCATCACCCTGTACAACTATTCCAATGTTTCATCAACTTCAAACGTTTTCAACATTGGCAGAACCGAGCAAATACCCATCGGCAACTACAGCGGCTACACATGGGGACGACCTGAGTGGGATCCTCTGAATGACCCCACCTTCTGGTGGAATGATACTGGCCCGGGACTGCCAGACGTTTCTTTCCTCTCCCGTTACGTAGACATCATTGTCACGTTCATGAAGTCGAGGGAATTCTCCGGCACATCGTATCCGTACAACGTCCCCATTCGCGTTGATAACGTCGATTGTCCAGGCGCCACACGAGCGTTTATGGACGGCACTCTGGAACAAGTTTCTTACATCTTTGATAGAGTCGCAATGAGCTTGACGCACATGATACGCCGGGGCAACTCGATGCAGACGGCACAGGGCAAAACGAGCCAAGCCGTCGTCTTCATCCGCGTGCGCTGGAGGTGGCTCATCCTACCCCTAGCCGTCCATCTCTTGGGAGCGATTGCCCTCGTCGGAACCATCATCGGAAGATCCAGGGACGTGCCACTATGGAAGGGCTCAGCTCTGGCAGTGCTATATCACTCTGTTGACAAGGATGGGGTTTTGGGAACTCGGGTGAAGAACCCGAATGAGCTGGAAAAGGTCAAGAGCATACAAGTTATGCTGGAAAAGAAGAGTAACATTTCCGATTCGTAGTCCAATGCCATGAAACACGTTGAAGTATCCATATATCTATTCCCCCCCCCCCCATATACCACGTTAAGTAACCAAAACCGCCGCTATCCCAAGAAAAAAGACTATTTTATGACAAAAGAAAATAGAGAGAAGGAAAAGACATTGCCTTAAGCGGGAGCCTTCCAGTACTTGGCGGGGGTGAAAGGCATCTTTGTCACGACAGCCTGCCTCTTGCGGCCTCGGACAACGACATCCACCTCGGTGCCAGCCTTGTGCTGTCCATCCTTGATGTATCCCATGGCAATGTTCTTTCCGAGTGTTGGGCTGGGAACACCGCTGGTGATTGTGCCAATGGTTTGTCCATCCTTCTGAATCTCCGCACCCTCGCGAGCAGGGGCGCCCTGGACGACGAAGCCGACACGACGTCTCCCGACGCCAGAGCCGCCCTTGGACTTTGGTGTGAGCTGAGGGAGGATGACCTCGGCGCCGTGGAAGCCGCCTGCCTTGCGACGCTCAGGGGAGATGATCCAGCTGAGGCCAGCTTCGACAGGGGTGGTGGTGTCGTCCAGATCGTGGCCATACAAGCACATACCAGCCTCCAGACGAAGAGAATCACGGGCTCCGAGACCAGCCATCTGGAGGCGCTCAGGACCAGCAGTCTTGATAAGAGACTCGACAGCCTTGACGGTGCTCTCCAGAGCAGGATACAGCTTGCCGTTGAAGGAGATTTCGAAGCCATCCTCTCCGGTGTAGCCGCCACGACTAATCAGGACAGGGTGAGTCTTGCCGCCATCCGCAAGCTTGAGCTCAGCCTGGACAGTGTTGCCAAAGTAAAACTCCTTGAGGTTGATATCAGTGGCGAGAACCTCGCTCAGAATCTCAGCGGCCTGAGGTCCTTGCAGGGCAACCAGTCCCGATCCATCCAGCCTCGTCCACTTCACATCGCCACCAAACTTGTCCAGCTCCTCATCAATGTACTTGGTGTCCTTTTCAAGACACGCTCCATTAGTCACCACATAAAACTCATCCTCGCCAATCCTCGTAACAATGGTATCATCAACAATGCCTCCAGTGCCAGGCCATAGGAAAGTCGTCAGCTTGCCACTCATAGGAGCAACACTGCTCCACGACGAAGGCGTAACCCTTTCCAAAAACGCCGCCGCGGCAGGACCCTTGAAGATGTGCTGAACCATGTGGCTGACATCGAAAAGCGATGCATGGTTCCGTGTGAAGTGGTGAGAGTCCGCCAGAGACAGAGACGAGTACTGGACGGGCATGTGGTAGCCCGCAAAGGGCACCATCTTGGCGCCATTGGCAACGTGGAAGTCGTACAGCGGCGTCTTCTTGAGCGGCTCTCCGCCGGAGGCATTGGAGGCGCATCGGATGCTTCCAGCAGTCGCCAGGCGGCCCGCAGAGAGTGAGGCCGAAGCCTTGACGCGGGGCGATGCCCGAGCAATTCTGGCGAAGCTCTTCATCATGGCGGCTTCAATTGAACGACGGAAAGCAAAAGGGAAACGAGGGAAAAGAATCAAGGAATGAGATGAGATCAAGGGATATTAGAGAGAAAAGGAGCGAGGAATTGGCAACGGTCGTGAGAGGAAAGGATGGACACGAAAATCGCCGAAGCGGCGGTTGTTGATCAAGTTGAATGGATATCAATTGGGTAATGGCAAGATTATTCTGACGGCGGGGCGGGCTCGGGTAGCTGCGGATCGCTGCAGTGAGCGCCGCTGGATAAAAAAACCTGGAACCCACTCTCCGATATCGAAACTGCTAAAAAGTTCTTTTGGGGCTCTGTGCTTGAATCGTTCGAGTTAAAAGGGTTGCATCGCTATAATGTTTAACCGAAGATGGGAGCATAACAAACATATCAAAAACACCAATGATGAACAGCAGCTGCACCACCAATGCCATACATCATCAAAAAAAAAAAAAAGGGCAGTGACAGCTTCAAAATTCTGCGTCTTTATTGTCATCATACACAGTCAGGGCCGGGGTCTAGCTAATCCCAGGCTTGGCTTCGTAGGTACATGTAGTAGTTATGCCAATTGCAATCGATGCTCCAAAATGATGCTGCGTCCACGGAGGCATCCAGAAAACAAGAAAACAATGAATAATAATAATAATAAAAAGTCAACATCTCCTCCAGTTCTAGTTGGACGTAGTCGCTTCAGCTGCCCAAGACCGATTCCATAATTAGAAAATAAAAGAGAGTCAATGGCTCTAATTGTTGTCCTCAAAGCTGTACTTGAGCCAGCCTCCCAGGGCACGCAGACTCTCCCACCGAACATTTTCGTCGTCGGATGCCATGAGCTCCATAATCCGTCTCTTCAAGCCAATCTTCTCGAGTTGTGATCGCTTCTCGGGAACCTCCTTGACCAGGCATCCAATGTCGTTGCATGCAATAGCCAAGACCTGTTTGTCATTGTCCCAGGGCTTCTGCATAATCTCGGCCAGCTTGCGAGGCACTTCGCCGTTTTGATAATCAAGGATCTTCCGTGCGTTCTCTGCCCAGAAGATGGTGTTGCGGTGTGGTGGCGACCAGCGGAGGTGGCCGGAGTGGACTTCGGCCAGGTACTCGTCAAACGTAGTTTTTGTCTTGGTATATTCCTCCAGCAGTTCCTTGAGACTTGACAGATCTTCCAGCAGGTCAGGATCGGCGAGATGGCGGCCACTGAGATTCTCTAGCAATGCGGGTAGACGGGCGAGCACGGCGGTAGGCAGGAGCGTTCTCTGGTTCTTTTCCAGCAAGTTGTAAAGTGTGGCTAGAATCAATCGAGTCGTCTTCTCCTTGGGCGAGAGTCGAAGAAGGTGAGTGTACAAAAGGATGATGTCGTATTCGCTACAGCATGGTCAGTTGGGGACGTCAAAGGTCGGACATGACACGCAAAATGACTCACTCGTTCAGCTCATCTCCAATTTGTTCCGACTCAAAGCTCATCTGCCACAAGACCATGAGAACATGGTACAGCAGCTGTAAACCAACACCTCCATTCAGAGAGCCCTCAAAGGTGCGCGTGTTCGTAGTGCCGCTCCAGAGACTAGCAGATGAGTCGCCACCGTTGCCAACACCGGCGGCCGCCCGAAGAATGTTGACAAGGGGCGTAACGGTGTCGCTGCGCTGCTTCCAAAAGTGTTCTCGCGAGACATGTCCGAACAGCAAGGATGAGTACTCCTGCACGGCGAAATCCTGTAAGCCAGCATCGGAGCTCTGAGCCAAGCCGGACAGGTAGGTGAAGATGAGGGGCAGGGCAAGGACGGTAGGCTTGGAATCATCTTGCGCCAGAGCCATAAGGTTCGACAAGGCGTGTGCGGTAAGGAGGGGGATGGGGTCCTCGTTGGAGTGAGCGCGGAACAGCGGCAAGAAGTGCTGGTACGGCTCGGGGGACTTGAGGAGAGCTTTGGCGAGAGATGGCACAGCTATGTCGCGACCACAATATCGTTAGCATTAGATTGAAATCGATGATGTAAAGAAAAGAGCAGTATAATTCAATGATGAGAATGATATCGATGATGTAGAGAAAAAAAACAGTATAATTCAATGATGAGAATGATATCTTGACAGTAGCAGCACACAAAACTTGTATTGTTGGGCTGATGCCATTTGTTGGGTGTTGAAATACTATTTGGTGTTTTGATGTTGATATGCAAGTCGAAAGCCTTGACTTACCATCAAGCAGATCAGCCAGCAGCACCAAGATGTACTGGACGAGGCTGGTATTCTTTCCTGCCTTTTCCAAGACGCTGGGGCTGCCGTTGCCGCCAACAAACAGCAGCCGATATCCGTCGAGGTCTGCGCTCACAATCTCCTTCCTCTGCTCGGGCCTTTTAGCTTTGTCGACGGCGCGGATCTTTGCGAGCTGCTCCTCGGTGAGGCTGCCTGCTCTAACGGCTCCATCCCAGGGGATCGGGCGGTGGCGGATGTTGTTCTGCAAAGAGGCCAGGTAGGTTGGCCCATCGAGAGACATGATGGCGACAGGAGAGCGAGTCTAGTTTCGAGGAGGGGGAGATGGATGGAAGTCGACGAGGTGATGCGAGGCGAGGCTATGACGCGCGGAGGGTTATATGGACAAAGGAGAGTGAGAAATCGGAGGCCAACACGAGAAGATGGAGATGGACAGAGACGCAGAGAGAGAGGAGAAATCAATTGGAGAGACGACGGCCGCCTACCAGCTTGCAGCAGGCTGTGCGAGGCTGAAGAGCAGAGAAGAGATGGAATTAGGTGAACCGGAGAGAGTGTCACTGTGCTGTCGCAGCTCAGCTTTGGAAGCTTTGCTCTGCGCCAGCCATGATGTTGCACCCCCACCTTTTTAAGACGGGTTTATCCGGCGTTCGGCCATAGATCAGGGACCGTGCTTGTGTTTTCAATGGCAAGCAGCAGCCACAAGCTGGACGAGCCACTCACCCCACCAGCCACATTTTGCTTGCGCTGCTGGAGCTGAGGGGCTTTTCCAACCACAATAAAGGCCTAGATGAGGGGGAATTGAGAATGGATTGGACCAGCTTGTAAGAGTTTCCTTTCACATGTACAGAATATACTTGCCTTTTTCACATATAAAAATGAGTTGTTTTTTCATCAATGAGAAACAACTCATTCATTCTCCAAGTGAAAACCCACTCAAAATGCAACAAAAAGCCAATGCGCCGCTTTCTCTCTCTTCTACTCACGCTCCGGAGCACTTTGTAGGCTCCGAAATGCCTCGCCGTGCCTTTGAAAACAGGCGCCCTGCACGCTTAATGAGAGCGAGAAACCTTTCCAATCAACTCCCTCGTAATCCTCCGTAGCGCACAGCTCTTTGTCTTCCTTTCGTTTTCTTCGGTCTTTCCTTTTTTCCTGTTCTTATCGCCACTCAAGCAAAGCACCATCCATATCATCCAGTCCAGACATGCAGTTGGTGTCTAATGCATCCAATCCTCCCAAAGCGCACGAGGCGGTCGACATGCAGCTGCGTCCCCATAAGTATCGTAGTTACTTGTAAGGTAGTCTGCGTTCTCTGTTGGATTGTCCAGCACGCCAAGCTGGATCAAGGAGTGTGGGAAGACGATCGATCCAAGTTTCAGTCAATCAGAACAATCGGCGCAAACAACGCCAGCCCGGCCATGGCCCCAGATCGCTTCGCCTGGCCAGCCCATCAGAAGCTGCCAACAAGGCGCCCACTATCGATATGTACTTGATCCTGGCCTGACTGTGTCTCTTGATGTTTCTCCCGCGTATCCGGTGCTTTGTGCCCGCAAGAGTCTGTCCGCATCCATGTCTGTCTGTCTATCCAAGTTTTTCTTGAATCTTGCGGCGGCTCAAATGTGGAAAGTCTGATGCCAGCTCATCCAATCTCGAATCTCTCCCCCGCTCTGGGCATCTGACACCCCGTGCTTCGTAGGGCCAACCTGAGGCCTGTCAAACGATCGCCATCCGAACAAAGACAAGAAAGCAAAGAAAGAAGAAGCAACGCCCTTGAGCTGCAGCTACTGGAACGCCTCATTCTCGATCCGGCATCTCCAGATACCCTGTAGGATTTCCCATCCACCTCACTCTCTTCTTCTTCTCGTGACCGCCAACCGCTACTGTACTCGTAAGACGCCAATGGAGAATCATCACAAGTCAGATTCCGGCCCGGACCCTTGCTGCATCTTGCATTTTGCCACTTCTAGTCAGGGGCTCTAAATTCTTTTCTTTCTCATCGTCTCTTTGGTGTGTCTTCTTTTACTTTCTACGAGGAGGTTAGTCGACTCTTACTTGGAGTGTGTGTGTGCCTCCGCTCCGACTTTTAGGAAACCCACGACCCCCCATGTCAGGTACCTCTCACACACAGCCAAAGTTGCCCGTAGCCGCTTGTACACTCGTGTCTGTACTGCGCGAGACCAAAGGAAATGGCACCTTTGCTTCACCGCGGCTTGCGGGCCGTTTAAACGGTGTCTGTCAAAGAGTCGAAGAGGGGTGTGTGTGTGTGGGTGGGTGACATTGTTGGTTCAAGAGCCATGCTTTGACAAGCTGGACCAAGTAATACAGAGACAGGTTAGAGGCAGACGCAAGTACAAGTAACTAAAAAGACAAAAGACCGAGAGGGTGTGCAGCAAGTACCGCATACGAAGCGCATCCATCATGGATCTTTTTTTTTTTCTGAGTCGGACGAAATGGGAGGGGCTGGGATTTTCCTGCGTCTAAGTGGGAGGAGGTTGGGGATTGTTCGAGCTCTGCAGCCGATAAAAGTCATCGTGCAGCGCCGAGACCGCCAGCTGCGCGCTCCCATTCTTCTTTCTCCCAAGTCTCCTTTTTTTGACTTTGGCCTTATGCAAGGTTGAAAACCGGCGTCGTCACTCAAACGGCATTGACTTCTTTTTTTTTTTTCTCTCCCTTGCCTTGACATCGTGAGACTTGGGGACTTGTGACAATTTCGGGCCAGCCAGCCAGCCTCGCTCAGAAACTCGCCGGACTCTTCCGAACAAACAAAACCCTTGTCTGCTTGAGCTTTCGTGAGAGGGAAAACAAAAGAAAACAAAAAAAAAAAAAAAAAGGCGAACTCGCCCCTCTGCCATGCGCTCAATCGCCCGACCAGCGTCCGCGCTGCTAGCCGCCGCAGGCATCGTGGCCGCCGGTCCATACCCCAGAGGCCCCGACAACGCCTACGCCTATCTGCTGCAGCGCGACACCTGTGATGGCACGCCCTGCGGCTCCGACAGCCAGTACTGCTGCGACAGCACCGAGCTGTGCACGACGCTGAGCGGGAATGTCGCCACCTGCCTGGGCGGATACGGCGCATACACGAGCACCTGGACCGAGACGCGCACCTTCACCACCACCTACTACACCCACTGGGCGCCCGTGCCGACGCCCACCGCCGGTGTCGATTGCGTGCCCCAGGACGACTCGCAGTCGCCCTGCGGCGCAATCTGCTGTGCCGGATGGCAGTCGTGTGCTTTCCAGGGCCAGTGCTCGTCCAAGCCTGGATACGCCGAGCCGACGCCCGTCGTCGTCGTCAGCAACGGCCACACCACCACGCAATACTCAGCTCCCTACCGCGTCACCGGAACCACCACCATCACCACCCAGGTCGTGCAGACGGGCACCGGAACTGCCACCGAGACCGGGGCGGAGGCCACCGAGACCGGCGACGGCGAGGCCATTGGCGCCGACGGCAGCAAGGGGACCAACGGCGGCGGCCTGAGCCCCGGAGCCATTGCCGGCATCGTCATCGGAACGCTGGCCGGCGTGGCCCTCCTGCTCCTGCTCTGCTTCTGCTGCATCGCCCGCGGCCTCTGGGCTGCTCTCTGCGGCCGCCGCCGCTCTGGCGACGACAGCGTGCGCGAGGAAGTCGTTGAGGAGCGCTACTCAAAGAGCGGCAGCCGCGCCGCCTCCGCCTCGGCTCACTCTCGTCGCGATCGCCATGGCACTTGGTTCGGAGGCAGCAGCCGCCAGGGAACGTCGACGGTGGTTACGGATCGCCGCGAGAAGCGCAAGAGCAGCGCCGGCTGCTGGACGTGGCTTGGGGTCGGAGCCGTGGCCGCCACGCTCTTCACTCTGCTTAACCTCAAGAAGGATAAGCGGCCAAACTCTCGCAAGACGCCTTCGCGGTACAGCGACTCCTACTACAGCTATACCGACTATACCAGCAGCAACAGTGAGTTTTAATCTTTTCATCCGAAAACTGAACTCAAGTGTCAATGTCCGTCTTAATACTAACTGCTCTCCCTTCTTACAGCCAACAGCTCTGGCACTGGTCAACGATCGCGCCAAAGATCCCGCAGCCGCCGCAGCAGATCTAGCCGTGGTGGACGATCACCTCAGTACAGCAGGGCGCCGCCCAAGCGATAGATTGGTCACTCTTAGACGGCGCTGCTTAACGTTGCGCTTCTCATGGGCGGTATCACGACGATTCCTTCACTGTGAACATATTCACAAGGGCACCCTTACTTTGTGGGACTGACCCTCTCTACCTTTACGTCATTAATTCTTGCTCCCAACCCTTTTTCCCCCCTACCCTACAACATTTACAATGGTTACATTTTGGCGTTGACGGCGCGGAAGGGGGAGGGCTGCAGTATGCGTCCTCCTCCCCCAACTGGTGATTTTATTTCCCCATCTTTCCTTTACTATCTTATGAGCTTGGTTTCTCTTTTGTTTTTTTTTAACGTGCAATATGTTTTGAAATGAAGGGATGAGAGACATGAGGGGGGTAAAGGCATGACGAAGCATGAAAAGGTACATACTACGAAAGACCCAGACGAAATGAAAATGAGACTACGCTGTAAGAAATGAATAGCTGTGTATATGTGAAGGTGAAGATGAAGCATATGATGAAGAGCAAGTGATGTATTTGGAAGTTGAACTTTGTGGCAAATTCATATAATATGGCGATATTGAATGAGATGAGTCAATGAGGAATTTGTCCTCAATGCAGCCAGTATTAAACCAGTATTACCAAGTGACTGTAAATATTCACATTGAGTACCTAGTAGATGAGACTTTTTCCCCCTCTCCCCCACGACTCAATTTTTGAAAAACTCAAACGCCAAGATTCACACAATTCATATCTCTTTCGCCGCCAAGGACAATCTTTCATTCCCAAGTTCGTAGTACGGCGTAGGACGCATCATACATGTATAGGTAGTCTACAGCGAAGAAAAGAGAAAAAAAAAGTGGTCATCGCTTTCACTTTACTTTTTAATGTATTTTTTGTAAAAGAGTAGCCCCGTTGCTACGTGACATGCAATGATGAACCTTCGCCACTCCGGAGTCCCAGAAACGCAAAAGAAACAGAGATCCCTTGTCCGGTACATTTAAGCCTCCTCAACAACGTTGCCCTTCTCGGAAACGTACAGACCGTCCAAGAACTAGATTGAGACGATAGTTAGCACAAGCCCACAAATAGATACGATTCGAGACGAGTTTTCTTGGCATGATTGTGAGAGCGTTGTTCTGTTCCGCCCAACAATCGTCCAAGTTGGTTGCAGAAAATTCCTTGATAAAATAGATGTAGGTCGTACCTTTCGGATATCCTTGTTGCGCACCCGGCAGATCTGCTGGATATCTGCGGCGCTCTGGGAAACGTTCTCGAGTGAGTTGCCGCTCAGGATGAGCTCATCCTTCTGGGCCTTGGAGATCTCAACATCGACACCCTCGTGCATGGTAACCCGTCGGACGATCTTCTCGCCGATGAAGTTTCGGATCTCGACCTCGAACAGACCAGTCTCCTTGTTCTTGTCCAGGTTGACGTTGATGGGGAAATGGGCGTAGACGTATCGCATCTTGTACTTGAATCCCTTGGTGACACCAGTGATCAAGTTCTCGATGATGGAGCGGACGGTACGGAGGGTGGCGACATTTTTACGGTTGCCGTGGTGGATCTCGATGGAGATGGTGTTCTTCTTGGGGTGGCCGAAGTTGACAGCCAAGTGACCGAGGTTCTTGGAGAGCTTGCCTGTAATCCTCCCATGTCAGAATTTCCAGTTCGACATTGCCAGTTTGCCTCGAAATCTGCCGTCAAAGAGTTTTGCGTCTTGACGAGCGATTTGTGGGTGGTGATTTCGTACCTCGGGGACCCTCAACGGTGACGATACGGGTCTTGATGTTGACCTTGACTATTCGCAAAAAAAAATTTCAATGTCAGCTTCGTCTTCCTCAGAAAGTGCGTGATCCAAGCCGACAAGCATAATTTCGATCGAGTTTCCCTCCCGTTGTCCCAGTCCAATCCCTCATAGCCAACAGCAGAGATTTAGTTCCTCCTCTTCCTTTCCATCGTCATCAAAGACACATTTTCCTCCAGCGCAATCGATCGAATCTGCAAAGCCGAAATCAAAAAAAGGAAAATGGTGAAACGTACCGCCCTCTGGAATTTCCAGGATCTCCTGAGAGTGAATGTACCTCATGGCTGCTGTGACTTGGGGGTTGTCGGGGCGTTGAGGGTATCTGGAGTCGTCCGTTCCGCGATCACGAATTGTTTGGCGAAATCGTGTGGGCAGGAAAAGTTCTAGGGCTCGCTCCACGTGAGCGCAAAGAGTTGTGCAGCCGAATTTGAGCCGTGTGGGCAATGAGGTGGGGCGAAAGAATTCGGAAACGAAGAGAGGCGTGACATGGCACGTGATTAACAGAGTGAACAAAGAAGAAAAAAGACCCCCACAGCAGGTAGGCTGCTGACTTAGCAACTGGACCAAGCCAAGTGGGATGTTGATACGACGACAACAGAAGAAGCAGCCAAGCCACAGCCAATAGGTGAAGATTGCACGACATGCAGTGGGTAGTGGCTGAATGGCCCAATTGATGGTGAATGATAACAGAGACTCTCTGCTGTTGGCTGGTCTAATCAAGCAGATCCAATAACGAAAACTGAGCTTAAAAAACAAAACTTTAATACAACTCTTCTACACTCGACATGCATTAACCGTTTTGCTGCACCAAGCATCTATTGCCAACATCATCTGGCATCCCCTGTCTCATCGACACTCATGGTACTCTCTACACATCCCATCAGCCACTACCACACCACAACCCACGTACTCTGTACCTCTCCGGCCCATGACTTTCCCCGGCCCAGCTCTCCACCAAAGCTCTGTCCTCCCAACATCGTCCCCCCACTAGCCAGAAACGTACGTCAGCGCAGCCGCCAGCCTCGCAACTTGTACGCGACAACGTTGAACCGCAGCGGCGCATTTTGGCTCTTGTGGCATCGCCAGTTGTGAAGCTCAATTTCAATTGCCTGGCACTCGCCGACTTGATTGGCCTCGGATCTGCGTCTCCCGTCGAGCCGAATTCGGACCCGAAACAGCGAGCCATTATACGGCATATCGAGAACAGATTACGCATAGAGGAGTGACATTTGCGGGACAAGAGGGAACAACAAGAAGAAGAGAAGAGAGCGGGTAGAACAAGAAGAAGAGTAGAATAAAAGATACACACACACTCTCTCTCTCTCTCTCGCAAAACACAAACAACACAGCACAGCACACGCAAGGGAGACCGCCGCCACCATGTCCATCTTCTTCTCAACCCCCGTCGACATCGACATCGTCCTCGACGATCCAGATGACCGCACCATGGTCGACGTCAAGCTCGACAAGAACCGCCGCGAAAAGGCGCCCCTGTACATGGACGGCGAGTCCGTCAAGGGCGCCGTCACGGTGCGGCCCAAGGACGGCAAACGCCTCGAGCACACGGGCATCAAGGTCCAGTTCATCGGCACGATAGGTACGCAGCTTGACTACTATGACCAGAATCCCGGCCGGTCCTCCTCCTCATCCTCCTCATCATCACCACCATCCTCCCTTGCCGGCCTCCTCTGGACTGCGCCCGCCATCCGCTTGGGCCTTCAGCGGCGCCGACTCCTTACTGACGGGCTGGTAGAAATGTTCTTTGACCGCGGCAACCACTACGAGTTCCTCTCGCTCAACCAGGAGCTCGCCGCGCCGGGGGAGCTGCAGCACCCGCAGACGTTCGACTTCAACTTCAAAAACGTCGAGAAGCAGTACGAGTCGTACAACGGCATCAACGTCAAGCTGCGCTACTTTGTCCGCGTCACCGTCTCGCGCCGCATGGCCGACGTGATCCGCGAAAAGGACATTTGGGTCTACAGCTACCGCATCCCCCCGGAGATGAACAGCAGCATCAAGATGGACGTCGGCATCGAGGACTGCCTCCACATCGAGTTCGAGTATAGCAAGAGCAAGTACCACCTTAAGGACGTCATCGTCGGCCGCATCTACTTTTTACTCGTCCGCCTCAAGATCAAGCACATGGAGCTGTCCATCATCCGGAGAGAGACGACGGGCGCCGCGCCCAACCAGTACAACGAGAGCGAGACGCTGGTGCGCTTCGAGATTATGGACGGCTCCCCCTCAAGAGGCGAGACCATTCCCATCCGACTCTTCCTCGGCGGCTTTGACCTGACGCCCACCTTCCGTGACGTGAATAAGAAGTTCTCTACGCGGTACTATCTCAGTCTCGTCCTCATTGACGAAGGTAAGTCTACACATAAAATTCCCCACCCCCCCAATACCCATCTATACTGATACTAATACTGCTTTTCATTTGCAATACAGACGCCCGACGATACTTTAAGCAGTCGGAAATCATCCTCTACCGCCAGGCCCCCGACGCTCCCACCATCCAAGCAGGAATCCAGAGCGTACCTCCTCCCTCGGAGAACAAAATGGCCGCTGTCCAGGCATGAAGTTAATTAAAAAAAAGCTCGTGCCTGACCTCCTCAAAATAAAGCACCTATCGGCCAACTTCTTTTTGAGTCTTACATGTAGCGACAGCAAACTTTCCCATTCTATTTGTTTTCCATTTCTAGCATAGGGGGAGGGGGTTATTAAACTAACTGGCGTTAACGGGAGATTACGAGTGTTGCGTGTGTGCGAGTGTGGTTTTTTGTACGAAAATGTGTTGTCGTAGATAATATATAGGTACATATATTTTATAACGCTTATCCCAGCCCCAGAAGAAAGTTGGATGAAAAGAGAGGGAGAAGTCAAGGAGAACAGGTAATCCCAAGAAATTGACTCTAGTAACGAAGCCAAAGACAATTCCAGGCCGGTTTCCGGCCCAAGTCTTTTGCCAGTACTGTGTTCCCTCACAAAACCGGACCGTAGATCTCTCCAGATATGATCTATTGATAGTTGGCGGGATCTCAGTTTCGCCCTTGACATTAAGGGCGCGTATGATACTCGCATAATATCCTATGATGCTTTGTAATGCATTGATAAGAAATTACGTTACATATCCCTTGCACTTTTATGTTGCTTGATGCTCCTTTTTGAGTTTCTGCAGATGAACGGCCGTGCGAGCTGCGAACATGAGCCTTGACATTGGCAGTTTTGTTGACAGCTAAGGAACGCACCCAAGCACCTTTAAGCTTGGCCAAAAATACCCAAACACATCACAAGAAACCTGCTAGGTAGCTCGTCTAGCCACTATTAGGATCACGGCGAGAGAACAAGTCAAGGAAGCATTTGATCTAGCTGTCGTAACTTCGTTCTAACCGGAACGAAGCCGCCATTGCGGCCAGGAGTCATTTTGTCAAAAATAACTTGTCTTGTTGCTTTCTATCTAGCTGGATAAAGCATTCCTCCTTTACCTATATAACTACGCTGGGCCGAGTCCGACGTAGTCATCCATCCCAGCTGGCCAAATTCCTCTATTAGAGTACCCAAATCAATAATATTACAAGTTTTAAATGAAATATTAGCAATGAATGATAAATATATTAATAACAGATAACCAAGTAACTTATGTTACGGTGAAGACTTTCGCTGTCTAATACCTCTTCTGCAGACTATTTTTTTTTTTTTGAATACAGTATGGGGAATCAGCAGGGCCTTTTAGTGGTTCGACGTAATGGAATCATTTGGGCTTCTCAAATGATTCAATAGCCCTGCTTACCAGTTAACCCTCAGGGTATATATATTTACCCTGTTTTATATTAAAACTTCAATAAACACTAGTGTGCAATTGGTAGGACTTTTCGAGCTTTAACTATTGGTTGGCTGAAAGATGATAGAGTAAGTCTATTTACTTGCTCAGTTTATACAGAGACGTCATTCATACATCCAAGGTTGCTTAGACCCCAATGAAGCAAATCCCAGACCTAATCATCATGAAGAATCTTCTGTCTTTGCTCGTTCTATCCGGCCTCGCGGTAGCCGCAGCTACACCGATTCTCGACAACACCCAAGCGTCTTCTTCTACCTAGTGGAAGACAACGGCCGAGTCATGATTCGACAAGGCTCACTTTGGCGTCATGCAACTCCTGGCTTTGTATTAACTCGACCTAGTGTCACAGTATCACGACCCAATCGCTGTGGTTTCAACAGTGGAATTGTAGGGTTAGCAGACGTTCAGTCAACTCCGAATAATCTGACTACCTAATTAGAATCAAGTCGATATAATTTGAGACAATTACGTCTAGATGAACTGGATAGATGTGTTTACTTCTTCACACTCGTTTAAAAAGCTTGAATAGCCAATTCTTACTATAGTAACAAGACTGGAATTTGATCCGTGTGGCCCTTCCTTGTCTCATCTCATTTCATCTCCTCCAAAGTTCAGAGGGTACAAGTATTAATCTACATGCAAAACATTTTTCTGGTTGCGTTTTTTTCGTCGTCTAATATTGATTCATCCATGCCTCCCCTCTCGTCGTAACAATCTCTTCCCTCCCCCATTTCCCCATCGAATCCAGCCAAATCATGCAATGTCCATTACATCGCCCGCCTCGAATCCAAACTGATTATTCTGGATCGCGGCAATCCGATCCAGCTCATCCTGATACTGCTTCCTGATATCCGCCAGCGTGACAACCTTCCTCTTCGCTTCCTTGCCCCCCTCGGGAACGCCTTCATCGAAGATCCACGCCTGCTTGGCATCCACACAGCTGAGCGCGTTGATGAGCAGCAGGTACTGCTTCGTGACGGGCGTGTCGAGCACGTCTTCTCCCGTGATCTGATCCCCCTCCCCGGCCAGTCTCAGCTTTTGGATCTTGTCGAGGATGACAGACGCCGCACCCCGGTAGTTGTTGTGCTTGATCCTCCACGAGTACAGGACCTGATGGTATGGGAACGCATGCATGACGTCCATGATGGCCTTGCATCTTAGCGCGAGGATGTCATCGACCTCTTGCTGCATTCCAGGGAACGGTAATGTCACTAGCTCAGAGTTGTGATACGTCTCGCACATCTTATCCACGAGTTTCCGCAGGTTGTAATGCCTCAAGGCTTCATCCTTCATCGACAGCAGCGTTGTGTGGGCCAGCTCAAACTGGGATGTCGCCAGCGCCGCGTTGAAAAGGCGGCTCAGCATGTCAGTCTTAATGCTAGCATTCTCCGGCTTGGACCCGGTGAACTGGACAGATAACCGAGCAAACTCAACCACATACGAGTACGCTCTCTGCTTTTCAAACAGGGCGACAATGTGTGAGTAGTACTGAGCCATTCCGCTGTTTAACAGGTTCCACTCCGTGTCGTCAAGCAGACCACTGCTATGGCGCTCGAGCTCAACTGTTTCGCTTCCTATGACCGGTGTTAGCGTAGGCTCGTTGACCAAACATACCGTCTTTGACTTACCCATTCCGACAGCTGCCTTCTTGAAGTTGATAGATGCCGACTCATAGTCTTTCAGCGCTAGCAAAACCCTGCCATGAATGTAAATCGAGAAGGGGTTTTGGTCGCAAAAAGGCTCTAAATCCAGAGCCAGATCTGCTCTGTCACGCTTGATAAGGGAGCACTGGATGAGTGATGGGGATACCTCGATATCTCCGTTGGGAGAACAGAGATTGGTAACGAGATCGGTGATGCTGATGGCAAGTGGTTCGCCCGCCAACCCCTGCAAGCCCAGTAAATGGCCAACGTTGGCCTCCAAGGCAGTCACCACTTGGACGTCTTCTCCCCTCTTTGTTAGGGAGGATAAGCTGTGCTCAGGTAGCGGAATGGCCAGTTCGGTCTGTGATAGCCACTTGAGAAGCTCCAACCTCCTCAAAGTAGCAATGAGTTGCCGGAAGACGGTTCCGACATCTATCCTGTGGTGGAGGGCGTCTTCTTCACTATCGAATTCAAACTCCATGTGGACTAGGAGGATGAGCTGACTGAAGCATACTTTCCACTGGAGTGATATGTTCTCTTGGGCCGCCGTCATGACAAGCTTCCTACCAAACTCCGTCAGGGGATGGTTAGGGCTTCGACTCTTATCATCTAGCGGGGTGACGAGGAGACCCAGCACTTTTCGGTAGAGCTCATTTGTCACAGCTGCAAAATTGGTCTCCAGCGTGTCGACCACTTGCTGAGCATCTTCGTCTGTGATGCCTCTCCAAAAGCCAGCTTTATCTGAGAAATATTGTATCCGCTCAAGATCTGTCTTGGTAGATTCTCCAAACAGCTCAGGCCGTAGTGCGGCATTGCAAAGCTGCATCAGGCTGTCAGGGAATCCTTCCACGAGTGTTAACCCGGCACCGATCAGATCTGCTTGTCGCGTAGACCCTTGGTCGGGCGTAGCTAGGTTGTGATAGAGTCGCTCCAAGTGACTGCATTCTCGAACGGAAGAGATGAGATCCGCACAAGTCACCCAAACCATGTCAGCATCGGCATCGATTACCATGCCGATCGCTTCCCCACGCTGTTTATCAAGCTCATTCAGCAACCGGTAGAATCTTCTCCACTGTGTCTCGCTTGACGATCGGAACTGTTCATAATCCATCTCGCCCGATGATCCGCGATCCAGCGAGGCAGTCGAGCCCAAGACTGAACAGATAGACTCGGCCAAAGCGCGACCTTTGTTATTCTCCTTAGGAGCACCCAATCCGCGCTCGTATATGGCCAGCGCCGCTTCCAACGTCGCCTTGGTGAATCTCCCCGGTTGCAAAATCATCTGTAGCCACTTCTCCGTAACATCGGTAGGGTCGCAAGGGCCAGACGTTTGTACATCGAGACTCCGTGGCTCGGAATACACACCGTCCCAGCCATCCTCCCATGACTGCGCCATGTTCTTTCGATCCAGCTCCAAACGCTGCACTCGGTACGTCATGTTGTTTTTCCATAACGTCCACAGGCTGATTTGGCCTTCCTCTGTTGACGCCAACGCGAAATCCGCCAGCGTCCAAATATCTGAAGATGATGGCGTGATTGGGATTAATGTGCATTTCGAAAAAAGATCTTCAATGACCACATTATGGGCATCCTTGGCAGTCAATTTCCAGAACTTGAATTCTCCAGGGCCAATGGGTGAATACGTAGCACAGATTCTCTGGCCGCGAGTTCGGCCAACAACCCGGGTGAGATTGAACTGCGCCGGATCAATTTGCCACTTGCCAATATCTTGGGGAGCCCTCTCAACGTTCAACATGTCAATTGTCTGCAGAATCTGCCCGTCATTGGCATTCCAGACCCGGATTCGGTGGTCGAGGCAAACGGTGACGGCAAACAGGCAGTTCTCGAGGCCAAAGTCGGTGATCTCAATGGACGTCGCAGTGCTGTATTCCATGTTGGCCTTTCCGTACTTGATCGTGTTCTTGCCCTGGAAAGGCAAGAGGCTTCGTAGATTCTGCGCCCATCCCTGAACATTGAAGAAGGATTCTTTCCACAGCGTAGTAGATGCTAAACAAGAGAGTCAGACACATATTCAAAAAAGGCTCCATCTCCAACTTACCATCATCTCCCTTTTGCTTGTCAAACCGAATCATGCCGCCATCATTGACCGTAACAAGAAGCGTATTTGCCGACACAGCCACCATTCGGTGAGGATACTTGAAGCTGAGGCCAGCCGGAGACTGCACCTTGCAGATATCAGGCAGCCCAGCGTCCACGGCGCCTCTCCTCTTGAAAAGATCCGGTCGCAGAGTAAACGTGTATAGGTAGCAGGCCTGGTCCAGCACATGCACGCACAACGCATCGTGCTCTTCCGGGTCCGAAAACACGACGCACCCCTGCTGAACGGGCACCGTGAAATGAAAGTTGATAATCAGAGACGCATCAGCCGCCTTGTCCTTCTTGCTAACGTCCACGGCCCGGATGCTCAGCAGCGTGCCGTCCTCCAGGACCCTCCACAGGAAGTTTTTGGGCGAATCGTGCCATTTCCGACGGTAGACAGACGCCGCGGTCGCCAAGTTCTTGAGTCGGAAAGTCGTCTCGTCCTCGGCATCGTACGACAGCTTGGGGCGGCCTCTGCTGCCAGACCCGGAGGGCACTCGAATGGTCACGACAGACGACGGGGAGGGAGGTTCGAGGTTCAAGCGGGTCTCTTTGAAGAGATACTGAATCTCACCCGAATCCATCTCGCCTCCCTGGAGCGCATGCGTCGTGCACTTTGTAGATTGAGGGGATGGCGGTGCTGTGGCTGGCGCAAGTTGCTTCGTTTTGGTGATGCTCAGAGTCGGTCGCGTTGCTTTGCATTTGCAGGGCAGAATTTCTGTTTCGAACGTCGACGTCGCGCTGCGCTGCGCTAGCCCGATTGGGAAACCAGCTTGGCTACCAACACAACGTGCAAATATGTATGGGCATTGAATTACATTAAATTGATCAAGTAGAAACTAGAATCAGTGGGAAACATACAGGGCTTGTATACATTACATCACTTTAATTGATCATCATTTATACTTGTTCGTCCATGCATCATGCATCTATCGATCCATCTCCCTCCCCTTTATAATTCCCCAAGCAAACAAACATGTAAGAAACAAACAGCCATTCATCCATAAAGAAAACGCCAAAAAACAAAAAAAAAGGGTTCATAAACCTCTCCCAAATGACTCCGATTTTTTCTCGTTTCTCATGCAAATGCAACATTTCTCCATTACTCAATCCTTCTCCTTCTCCAAATCCTTTGGCGCAGGGTCGCCAATACCGTCCTCACCAATGGCAAAGAGCGTATCACTCTCTGGTAAACAAGGACTGTCGTAAATCTTGGCAATTCGAGTCTCGCCACGTCCCTTCTTCAAACTGATTCGCGTTGTACTGGCATGGGCAATAATATTACCACCAATGGGCTTCTTCGGATCAGGATTGAACATGGCGCTGGGTCCACCATCTACCTGCGCGACAACTTGGTTGGTGATGACAACGGCAATGCCGAACTCGTCCGCAAGCCGCTGCAAGGTCCTCATGAATTTAGCCAGATGTGTCTGACGGTTCGACAGCTCGCCTCGCCCGGTAAAGTCTGTTCGATAGAGCGAAGTAGCGCTGTCGACGATGAGCAGCGAAAATCTCGTCTCGCACATCATGGCCGCTGCCTGATTCAACAGCTGAAGCTGGTGATCTGAGTTGTATGCTCTCGCGTACGCAACATTGTCCAATACTTCTTCTCCCGACAGACCGAATCGGTTGGCAACGGCCAGCAGTCGGACAGGTCGAAAGGTGCCCTCGGTATCAATGTACAGACATTTGCCTTCACCACCGCCCATGTCGAAAGGCAGCTGGCAGGTCACAGCGAGAGTGTGACAAATCTGGCTTTTCCCTGTTCTAAACTCTCCAAACAGCTCGGTAACAGACCCAGTCTCGACACCTCCGGCCAAAAGCGTATCTAGGTTTTTAGACCCGGTTGTGATGGAGATGAGTTCACTGCGACGCTGGTGCATTTCAGTGGCCGTTGTAAACCCCATGGGCACAAGTTTCGACGCTTTGAACACAACAGTCAGATTTCTCTTCATGCCTCAAAGACACAGAACGCAGTCGACATACCCTCAGCCAAAATCTTGGTCGCCTTCTGCTCTGAGATGCCCTTGATCTGCTCCAAGACCCTGCGCGGGGTATAAGCCACCGACTCGACCGTGTTAAACCCGCCGTCAACAATCAGTTGGATATCACGCTTTGTCAACCCGGCAACTCCCTGTAGAACGAATCATCAGCACCGTCCAAGACTCATTATCCAGCACCATCATCAGTCATACCTCCAAAGCAGACAGCGGCGTGGGCGCACCGGGGCCGGTCATGCCACCCTCCTCGGCCATCTGGTTCTCCTCATCGTATTCCTCGCCCATCGTGTCTGCCAAAAACCAATTAATTTGTCCACGCAAAGAAACAATAGATAGGATTAACGCTATGCAGAGGATTTTTAAAGACTCAGCAGCCACAATTAGGCAGAACTGAGGCAAATGAGACGAGGTATGTTGACAACCAAGGCGCGGGTCGACGCGTCGAGTCGGGCTAGCAAAGGGATAATTTGACGCCAGATCACGTGATATCACTCTTGATTTCTAATTGAAGGCTGTGGAGAGAGAGAGAACAGGCATCCATGACACATTCACATTTCAGATTGGTCATGATTTGTTTTCAATACGAAAAGAGTGTATTATTGCAGTTATTGCTCTATATGCTAGTTACCAAAAGCAAGCCAGTTCCAGAAAAAAACAAGTGCAGACGTCGAAAATTATCCGTTGATCCCAAATTCCCCCCCAACTCCCATTGATGCAATCGAGAAAGGCAGACAGCAAAGCTAATCCCAAGGTAGACTGTAGTAGTATTACATTGTGTCTTTTCCGAGTTGTAAAATGGGTTTTATTGGATGAAGATGCGGTGGGCATCGTGCTTCTTCGCCTTGGGGACGGTGATGCTCAGGATGCCGTCCTGGAAGCTCGCACTGACAGCGTCGTGCTCAACCAGCGCAGGGAAGTGGAAGCTGCGCGAGAACTCGCCAATGCTGCGCTCGGTGAGCCAGTACCTGGCCTTGTCGGCCGGCCGCTGGGAAGTCTCGGGCTCGGGCTTCTTCTCTTCTTCGGTGGTCACGACCTCATAGCCCGACTCGCGCTCGCTGGCCTCGTCTTCGTCCTCAACAGTCGCCTGATGCGAGTTTCTGCGTTCAGACTCGGCCTTCTCGGCGACGCTCTCTGTAGAAGGAGTGCTCTCGACGGAAGCAGTGGGTGATGTGCCGGCAGTGTATGTGCGCTCAGTCTTGCCGCGGACAACCAAGGTCTGGGCGTCAGAGAATTCGATGTGGACGTTCTCCTTGCCTATGCCGGGAAGCTCGCCGTGGAGCTCGTAGGCCTGGGTGGTCTCGCGCACGTCAAACTTGGGCTGCCAATGGGGAACTGGCTGGCGGCGGACATGGCAGCTTTTGCCGTTCTGTCGGCTGTAGTTGTCAAAGTCGTCAAGGAGACGGAAGAGAGGCGTGAAAGAGGCCTCGGTGGGGTGGTGGAAGGTGCGAGGGAAGAAGGCCATTGTGATTGCTGAGTGTTGTTGTTGTTGTCTGGTTTGTGAAGAAGTTATCAGGTTGGTTGATGTTGTCGTGAGGTGGGTAGATGTGTGTGGCTGGAGTGCTTTGCTTTTGTTGTTGCTTGGGTGTTTGCTGTGTATCTGAGTGGTGTTCTGATGAGAAAGGGAATTTCACTTGTGCTTGACTTCATGGTGTACTTTATAGCTGATTGCATCGCTTCAATTGACTTCAAAATCAGGCAGGCAGATTACGAACGAGATATTCTAGGAATGCGAGCGAATCTACTAGCATCTACCACATCAGAGAAATGAGTGCATGGTGCTTCATAATGCTGCTTACAAGCTCAACATGTCACTGTCTGGACTACCTAATCGTGGCGACTGCGAGCTTCTTCCAGCAGGCACTAGAAGATTCCACTCAGGTACTACAGTAAGTAAGCAAGCGGCCCTGTAAGTAATTACACTCGACAACGTTTCTCCCCGTAGCAGAAAGAAAAAAAATCACATAGCAGAATATATTTTGCATCTCTTAAACAATACATAGTCTGCGTCATAACTATTAAAAGAAACAAGACTATAAAGTTCACACTCGACGCTCTATTCACATCATCCCGTACCTGATTGCCTCTCCTCCTGCGTCATTGTGGCTTTCCAAGGAACCCTTGGAGGGGGGCGAAGTGTGGCGCACGCGCCGCCGACGCAATCCAGCCACATCAAGCCACCGCCCAATTGACTTCTTCCAGGTTAGGCTCTCAAATGGCCAGGAATTCATCAAGATTCGAAAAGACAAATGCCATTGATGAATTGATTATCATGCTTCGTCAAGCAAGGTAATTCTGTAAAGACGTCGAAAATTGACAGAGAATCATCCGGAGTCTATTGTCCGGTCATCAGCTGCCCTCAATCGAAACTTGCACATCACATCTTCTGTATGCTGTAGTATTATGCTCTTTTAATACGTACCCATGCATATATAGAGTCGACTTTATTCAAGGCAAACAGCCACATTTACTAAAACTGATGACGTCCATCCAAGGCTGACCCATATCCACTACTTGTCCAACGTTCAAATAAATCTTCACCAAATAGAACATTTTGTAAATCAAAGATCATCCTTCCCAGGGAGCTGGATTCTTCTCCACTGTGGCAGTGGTAATGGACAAGGGCAGTCTTTTTGCCACAGGCACTCAGCTTTGCTGCCAGGGCCTTCTTCCTCAACGGTGGCCATGCCAATCACAAGAGCAGAAAAATAGACAAAGTGATAGTTTAATAAATGTAAAAACAAACTGAAGATAGAATTATCCATGCATGTAGCATTACAAAAATAAGGTTGCCTTGAGAAAAACCACAGAGGGATGTTCCTAGCCGCCTGTCCCTTTTCGTTGACCCAATATTCGTAGCATCGCCTCCATCATCGTGTAATCCTCAATCCAGCAACGTTGGATCTAAAATACAAGGCAAAGACTTCCCTAGCATTCCCCGGAAAGAACCAGGGCATTAAAGAAGGAGAGCAAGAGCAAGAGTAAGAGTAAGAAGCCAGCATACCAGACAGCAGAGAGATATGATGCCATGGATGAGACCAAGTTATGGTGCATATGGTCCCATTTGTTGATATCGAGACATCGTGCCGGCGGGGGGTCGTGCGGTTCCCGAAGATCCAGCACCTTGGCCAGTATTGAAAAGACCAATAAGCCTTTGGCCGATAGAAGGCTCTATCTCGGTGCCGTCTCGCGCAATCTTAACCTCTCTGTTGGAATTCCAGGGGTTTCGCAACCCACGAATCCTGTGAAAGGGAAGACGAGATGTCGATAGCCACTCGACTCGGAAAGGCTTCCCCCAGGCTTTTTCTTCCTCCTCTTCGGTGACAACACCATCTGTTCCGTCCAAAACGCCAGCTCCATTATCGAGGGGCTTTTCAGAATCATCTTGATATATTTCCCAGAAGATTGTTCCTCTGCTTGGATCATGAAGGATTCTGCCTTTGGGAACATATTCAGTCGCGTCCGTGATGACTTCTTTCGGCAGTTCTAAATCGTTCGTCGATCGTGGTACGGGTGCAAACTGGACGGTCGAATCCAGGGACGGGCTAAACTCGGAAGCCATTCGTGCATATCCAAAGTACTCGCCAGATTTGTTGGCTGAAAATATTAAATATACGTTGTTGCATTGCTTCGACACGTTAGCCAATGAAACAACAACTCTCCAATGTGATGACTCGGATCTCTTACCCTGAATGCACCATTCAATGTTTCTTCGTTATGAGATTGCGTGGCCCAAATTCCCGTTCGTACACTAAGCTCAAGGTCATCAACTGTCAAACTTTTCAAAATAAAAAATCTATCATGGTATTTAAGGGCTCCCTCTGACGAGGTAGTCGTCGACTTATCCGCGTGATCGGTGGTTGCAATCGAGTTTCCATCTTCGATTTTGACGGCGGTTTTACTTCTGACCGGATAGGTCGGTTGAGGAAAGTTGGCTGGGCCTGACGCCGGCCCTGTTGGCGGAGAGTGGCCAGCACTGCCATCGAGTTCACTCCTTCGTAGCCTGCTGACGAGGCGAACCGACTGGAATCTAGATTCGTGCAGTTTGAGTTGAGCAGTGATGCAAGAGGCCTCGTCTTTGAAATTAGCAAAGGCGCAATTGCTCTTGGCAATCAGGAAGAGAGATTCGAGTCCTGCTGTCTCCTTCGAAACGTGGCGTACGAGGCTCATTAAGTCGGTTTGGGGTGGGAGATTTCCGATCCAGACGGCATTTCCTGAGAAACAAGGGCAAGTGTTAACTTTCAAATGTCAAGGAAAAAGAAAGGCAAAAGAAGAGATGGAGAAAACGTAAAGTAAGAACGGGGAGGGGACTATACCGGTTTGTCGAGGTTTACGCGACGAGCCTCGAACAGAGTTTTTCTGCTCGTCTGGTTTTACTAGGAATCTTAGCCTTGTGCTTATTGGCCCAAAAGAGAAGGAGAGGGAAGTGGTGAGATATACCCCGAGTCAATTTCTCAGTTGGAAAGGATGGAGGTGGGCTGGCTAGAAGCTGGTTATGGAGTAAGGCTCCTGTTGCTGCTTGTTGGCCAACTTCTGCTCGATGCTGTTGCTGGCCTGGAGCGGCAACAGGCTGTACACTGGGATACTGAATAGGATACGGAGCGGTCTGATGGTAATAGTATTGGGTGATCGGGTGCCCCATGGCTAGTGGCGTTGAGTAATATGCCGCGTTTTGTCTCTGTAGCATCGCCGAGCCAACCTGGTTGACAGGTAGATGGGCGCCGCCATAGTATGGGGATATGGGTTGAGCTTGTTGTACGTAGTAGCCCTGGTGCACCATGGGCATCTGCAAAGGTCCGGTATACTGAGGGATCGGTGGCATGTGCTGGGCCATGGGCGGTGACAGCCCGGCAGTGTATCTTGGTTGAACCCCTCGCTGGTACTGGCCATGGTGATAGTTGTCCTGAGGCAGGGCACTCGCCAAGGGTGTCATGTTGTATGGGCCACGGCGGTTGGGGAATGTCGAAGCAGGTGCCGATGTATACTGTAAGTTTGCCGGGTTGTTGGGCAGACCTGGGAGGCCGTCGGGCCCAGAAGCCACGCTCTCGTGGTCTAGATTTTGAGGCATTACAAGCCCCTTGGCAGTCGCTTCCGGCAGGACGGGCTCGACCTTCCCCGTCCCAGAGTCGGGAGGGACTGAGACGTCGCCCATCGAAAATTTGAATCTGAGCAGGAATCTAGGCTCTTTGATGTTGCTAGGTACTTGGTCCGCCAGAAAAAGTGTTTTGCTTTGGTGTAGCCGGTTACAAGGGGTCTTGGAAAGAGAAGTCGTGTGGCGGAGAGGTGGGCTGAATAATCGTCGTCCAGTTCAAATCATCTAGTCAAACCGCAACTGCTGATAAGGTCCGAGTTTTCCATATGCAAGGAGATGTGTCTTTGCATACTCTAGAATGATTGAGCCCAACGTTCGCCACAAATGTTTTGCTTGCGAGGTATCGCGCCTGCTGGAGAGGAGATGCCCTGTGCCTCTATTCTGAATCTCAAGGCTGTGGCAACGAAGACTCCTTCTCTAGTGATAGAGTGCAAGTATTAGGCGTTGATACTCTCTAGTTTATGACCGTTCAGGTGACGTGAACCAATGCTAATTGGCCTCAGGGGTGCAGGAAGACACGATTTGCCTCCGGGGCGGAGCGACAAGGAAGGGTCAGCCCGGTCTGGGGAAAGCAGTGACTCGGATAATGCACCCAATGGCACTGTAATAAGAGAAATGTGCCTGTAGCAGGGGTGATAATACCCTATGGGGGCCTTTTGGCGAGACAATGCACGAGTTGAACAGGGACAGCCACAAAGCCGGCAGCTCCTCCTTGGAGAATCCACCTCGGCAGCAGAGAAATCTGGTGACGACGGGCAGCAGCTCTACGCCACTGGATTGAAGAGCAATATAGAGCCAAGCTGTAGGCTCTTTCTAGAAGAAGACCAGGTTTGTTGGTCTAGACCATCGATGACGGGTGATTGATTCGAGACCCAAGCAAACCAACGGCCACTAACCACATCAGATCGTGCCAGAGAACCGGGTCGAATTCACATACCAGGTACGAAAAGTACGTACAGGCAAGTCTTTGGCGGCGGCTCAGCTGCCCAGGCAGGTCGTGGCTTTGAATTGAAAAAAAAAAATTGAAAAATAAAAAGGGACAGCGGAGCTAATCGTTCGTCTCACACCCTTTGCTGTCCACAACTGCGGAACATTGCACGACAAAGTCAGTGCTAAAATTGCAACACCCTGTCGGTGAGCAGCGGCCGAGCTTTAGGATTCACCACTCACCAGGCAAGGCAGCGGTTGAGCAGCAGGTGAACGATGGGTCCGGCGGCAAAGGAGGCGAGGGCGTCTAGAGATGCAGCCTTGCAAGTCACCCCAAGGAGTGGGCGTGGATATTGTCGAGCTCAGTGAAGATCAAAGTTTGAAAAGATCTAGGCCAATCTCTGTACAGCTAAATATACAGGGCCGGCGGCGACGATCCGGTTATG